GCTTTAGCCAGGGAATAGTCTATTTACATAAGTAATGAGGCCATTTGGGGATTGCTGTTCAAAATACATTTTCTTCAATCATAACACCATAAAAACCTCTTGCCAATCTTTAGATAGTAAGAGTAATATGAAACTAACTACAGCTTAGAATGGTTCATGGAAGAATAGTAACTCTTGAAAAAATAATGTTTACTTTTGATAAATGTAACTATTAGGAAGTAATTCCAGATGTGTGGTTATGGCAGAATTTTAGTGATTATAGTCTTAGCCTATTTAGTGAATTACATTATTGCATTTAAAAGTAGACAAACATTTTTTTAAAATTAATTCGTTCTTCAGATGGTCTGAATAAAACTGTTTATTTTCTATTATCTGAGAAACAAACAGAGCAGAATCTGGTTTATTTATGAAAGTAAATACAAAAGGTCTGACCCCTGGGTATTGCCTTTGAAAATTGTCTGAGAAAATGCTCTTCTGGTAGCCGATTCTTTCTTCAAGCCATTTCTTCTTTTTGAAGATGATGCCAACCCCCCCCGCACTCAAATTATGCAATATATTTTAAAGACTGCTTTGAAATGAAATGGTTTGATCCCTTTAGTCTTACGAGGTCTTCCAGTATTCTATCAACTGCAGAGGCAATAGAGTGTTATATTTTATCAACAAAGACAGAAGTCGTCAAATTTACAAAACCTTTCTTTGCCCATCGTGCTGGGTCTGTGCTGCGGATTTTGGGGACCGGAGCAGTTGCATGCTATCTATTAGTTCACTCATGTGCTTGCTTATTCCTGTAATTGCCTGCTAATATCTCCAAGGCCCAGGTGCACACAGTGCTGGCATGTAAGTTTAGGAGGATGTGGACTAGCTGAGAAATAACAATGCCTGTTTTATCTGTTTTTAAGTCCTATATAAAGGCCACTTAGAGTCTGTGTCTGAATTGTGAATGGTAATGAAGTTGGGACCTGCCATTTCTAAAATGTCTTGTTATCAGTAGGCTTGTGTCTATCGTATTCTGAGAATGGGTCGGCTTGGAGTCCTCTGTATTAAGACTGCTCAGGATGTTGACAGCTGAAATTCATGTTACGTTTGTCTCTCCACAGAAAACATTGTTCCTTTATTAGATTGGTATTTCAGCTTAAAGCCAGGCCAGGATGTTTAAATGACAAAGGTTGTTCCTGCTGGAGCACAGGCGTTCTTCTGTCCCCGTGCTTTCTGCTTGTGCTACATATTCTATAGTGATTTCTTGCAAGGGTGTTAGGGGGTGCTTTGCGCATGAGTGCAGAGTGCTGCAGTAAGCTAATGGTACACAATACAACTGTCTCCTGCTTTGTGCTGACTACACAGTCAATAACAAATCTGTACTCACAAAGTACTTGTTGAAACCATCTGGCAGGAGAGGTCTGACCAAATAAAATTACGGTACTGAGCAGCAGTTAGTGCAAGTAACATGTCGTGCTTAAAATAAATATGTAAACATGTGTGTTACACGTATGCCTATGTTCTATATACACATACAGTTTTTTTCAGCTTATGTCTTTCAAGTGCAGGCCTAATTTTATGGATGACAGATCTCGCTTGAGGTCATTAACAGTGAACTTAGCTACATTAAGAGCTCCAGAAAAATTCTCAGACATTTTTCCCCATTACTCTCTGGGCAGTTGCAGACAGTGTTGGTGTTTCCGTTTGTCAAATATAACTTAGAAACAAGATGTGCTGTTGTAGCTCAGCCCATCTGCAGGACCTCCATTTCTGTAGTAAGAAGCCTGGAGGTTTCTGTGGGGGCTTGTGTTTACCTTCCCTCCCTGTTCCCAGAGGCACCACGGGGTTGTGCTGGACCAGAGCTGCAGCAGGAGTCTTAAGAAAAAAATGTTTTTCAGCACAGGCTTAAGGCGGTGGTTGCACATTATGTAGCTGGGTCTTTCTTTGGAAGAAGGCAGGGCAGCTTATTTCAGTTAGGATTGAATGGTGTTATCCTCACCTCACCACAGAAGTGCTTTGCTGCAAGGCACTTATTTTTATCACTGCAGTGTGTGTCTGCTACCCGTCTCTGCTGTCCCTCTGTCGTTGAGCCGCATCCCAGAAAAGGGAGCTTGATGTCAGCCAGTGAAAGAGGCACTGCTTTTATTTTCAGCATCTCTACAGAATCAGGACAAGGATGCAAGTTTTCTAGCCCTATAGGTGTAGGATAACAGGCCCATTTCATGCTCAATTTAGCTTTATCTGGGATAGGTTTTGCTTGTGTGATGCTCAGGAAGGATAAGAGAAGTGATAAAGCACAAATTATAGTTGAATTTATTCTGGATCCAGTTATGTGTACATCTAAACACAAATGATACAGAAATAAATGAAATCTGATGGCTTGTAACATCTATACTGAATTAGCATGTCGCCGCATCCTGGTTTTAGGGTCACTGCTTTTATTTTTGTAGTTTGAGCTGCTGCTTTTCCAGTGGCATATCTCCTCCTCTTCATTGGGCACTGATGAATACAGAAAGCTGAAAAGATTGAAACTGATGCTGTAGAACAGTCTGATTCCACTCGTTGTTTGTACCATGGCTACTCTGTGGATTTAATGGGAATTAACCCTGATTTCTGCCTGTGTACAGGAATCAATGGGAGGCTTTTGTCCAGGCTCGATACTAGATGAGGATCAGGTGGTAAATGCTGTGCAGAAATGTTTCGGGTGGGACTTAATCCTTTCCCCCGTTTTTGCTCCATCCTTTTTGTTTGTTTGTAGGGGCAGAATCTGTCCAGCCGAGGAAGGACCCATCCCCAGAGCTCCCTGCTGGAAAATGTCAGCCTAGGCATGCGCAGCAAAGGAGTATCATTTTAAAGACCTTTCCCAGAGCAAGTTTTTTTTAATATTCTTTCAGTCTGTTGGCAGCTTACCGTAACTAAAGCGATTTCTTCCCACCTTTTTTAAAGGTTGAATCGCTCACAAATGGGCTTTGGTAACAGCTTCTTATGTAAGAGCCTCGAGTGCGGCTCATTTCCCATTTCTGTGCAAAACGAAGGGATTATTTTGCAAGTAAATATATGTGGAACCTTCTCATCTGTGGTGGGGAATAGGAGAAAATCAACCCGTCCTTTTTATTCTAGGACCGTCTGGAAAATCGATGCCTCTTAAGTGCGCGAGCAGTGGAAGTAAATACGTTGTTTTTTCCCCTGTGAGCTGGATTTGTGTCAACTGCAGGATATCCACGTTCTTTGGACCGAACGTGGGCCTGTTAAAGCTATCGTCTACCCTCCCGCAGGAGGGACGGGGATATGGCGGGACAGGGACGTCGGGAGGAGAAGGTGCTGTGCCCTGCCCTGCTCCCCTGCGTCAGTAGGTGGCACCAGATGGCCGGGCCGGGCGCGGAGGGTGGCCGGGCCGGGCGGAGCTCGTCCCCTCGCCGCTAGCTGATAACGCGGGGGTGACAGGTGAGCTCTGCGCTGCCGGCTTACCCCCGCGAGGTCGGTTGCGGTAGGAGGCAACACCCGTTCACCTGCTGCGGCTGGGGGGGTCGCTGCGGTGAGCTGAGGGGGCCGCACCGCCTAGCCGGGGTCTCAGCCTGGGCTGGGGTCGCTGGGCTCTTGGAGGGAAGCGCCGGGCCTGACTCCGCAGCTTGTACCGGGATAAAAGGTGCAGCGCTTGTGAGGGAGCTCCAGGCTGTGACCCCTTGTCTGTTTTGCTATTTTAAACAGCACAGGGATGGAGAGCTCGCAGGAGGGAGAGCAGAAAGAAACAAACAGATGGATCCACAAAATGAGAGATTTTTCTCAGATACTCTTCTAAGTCTTCCTGTAATATGACTATTTCTATTAAAACCTAGTCGCCCCCCCCCTCCCAAATATTTAACTGCTTTTTTTATAACTATTCTATTTTTATAAAGGTGAACTGTGTGTTTGCTCTTCAGGGTCAGCCCTTGGGTCTCTCCGAGCACTGACTTTAGAGGGATTGGGTTATGGAGGATGCAACAGAGCCGCTACTTCACCCCCAGTGATGGGGAGAGCTTTGGATCCGTGCTCCCAGGCCAACGGCTGGGGCTGCAGGGGGGACAGCCTCTAGTTTAGCAGCCATTTATAACCTCCCTGCTCTTCCCCTAGAGGAGGTGGTAGGCTCTTTTATATTTAGTGCTGATAAGTACATGCAAATTCCGATTAGAAAGCGGTATGAATATGCTAACAGTATCTGACTGCCTGAGAGAGGAGAACCTCATGTAAAGAGTTGCGTTGGTGGGCTACCATTTTGTTGCTAGGGAGAGTTCAAAGCAATGCATCAGTTAATTGTTTTTATCTGGATTAGTTCATAAATAAATCCCCAGGACTGGTCACAAAGTCGGCATTTGCATGTGAAGAAAGAAATGTTTCTTCAGATGTATGTTAAAAGGCTTCTGCTGGTTAAATGCTTATATGACTTTTTTAGCATTTGCATTTTTTCATCAGAATGTGTACCATTTTGTAAAGGTGTTGAGGTCTTTGCACTTCAGGTTTTTCTTAGCTGAGTTATCTGTGTCTCCATATGCTTTAGTCAACATTCACAGATTTATAAAGCCAACAGGCTGCTTTTGAAAATAACAATTGTGAAAGTATCTTACTGCACCGTTTCATACGTGTTCCACTTTGTGCGGAGTTGAACATGACAATTCTGGCTGTGTGTATGCAGCAAAGCTACTGGCTTGAAATCTTGCTTTTGTGAAGTATTTCATTTTTTAAGAAGACTTGGAGCATTCCATTGCTTTTTGAAGGACTGGTTGGTATCTAACCTGTTCTTGAGCTTGTGCCCAGGCTTCGAGTAAAAGTCATTGATTTTTGAAACCAGAAGTCTTGAGCTTGAGTTTTACAACTTACTTCCAATATTTGTATATTGCCTAAATTATTATTACGTATTTTCCTTTTACAGAGGTTTTTAAGAAGAATCTGATGGTGAGAATAGGTTAAGAAGACTCAGGATGACGACAACAGTAGCGACAGATTATGACAATATTGAAATCCAACAGCAGTACAGCGATGTCAACAACCGCTGGGATGTCGATGACTGGGACAATGAAAATAGTTCTGCTCGACTGTTTGAACGATCCCGCATCAAGGCCCTAGCTGGTAAGCGCTGATCACATGAGCAAAACTCTGATGCTGTGTGTATGTGATAGTACGGGATACTGTCTGTCTTCAGTGCCTGCACCTTGTCTGTAAACTAGAGCTGAAATTTTCCTGAGGTTGAGTGCAGTTTGACCCAACAATTTTTGAGATTGTTTCGTCCATGGACATCAGTGGGACATGATGGTCTCATGTTGAGATGAGGATATGAGGATGTGCTCATATCTGACGTTTTGCAAACACTTGGCTGTTCAGATTTACTGTGAAGACTTCTTTGGTGTAAGCACAGGAGAGCAGAGATTTCATCCATTTTTTTTCTTTTTTTAATTAGAAGGTTGCACTGACTGTTTCTCACTTCAGTCTCATCAGATATTAACCATTTTGGCAAATTATTCTGATTGGGTTTCTGTGATTGGCAATGATGTTGGTTTCCAGATTTGAAAAAAATCAGAAGGATAACAAAATTGTGCTTCGAAAGATCTTCATTTGGAAGTGTTCAAAACATCTCACATGTCCTGAAATGGAGGAATGTGGTAGATGGAGATAGTTGTCATTTAGTAAATAATGCTGAAACTATAATTTTTTCTGAAGAAGCAGAGCTTCTGAAATACATGCTGTCTTCTGCTGAATTACACTGTCATCAGCAGAGAAATGAAATTTGATTGGGTCTTTTTTTTGTTGTTGTTGTTTAAAACATTTGATTATTGCGTATTAAAGGCTGTACATTAACCAAATTTGTTTATGCAGCAAGGAGATTATGTCATGTCCTCTCAGCTCTGAGGCATTGCCCTGCAAAGCGATTTTTATGCGTTCTGTAAATGATTTCCTGACTTTTATGGTAGCATGCCCACATTCCTGACCTCTGAATAAAATGCCTCAGTAGCGTGGGACATACTGTAAGCATGGAAAACAGCTCAAAATGTGCTGAGCTTTCTGCTAGTGAAATTTTAGTTACAAGGACAGTTTTAAACCCAACACTCTAACATGTTGAAGCAGGTTTATTAAATTAACCATACTGAGACAAAGTTATCATCTGTGTCATTTGTGATTCTGATGAGACTGACTCCGGAGCACAGCGTGCCCTTTCTCCTCTTGATGCTGGCCGTGGGAGTGCATTAGATGCAGAACTCCTTTACATGTCAGGCACAGGGCAGGATCAGGTTTGGAGCTGAGCAACAGGGAAATTAAAGTAGTTCACACAGGTGGGCAGAGAGCAGATCATATAACTCTTACTGAGGATAGTAATGGTATCGACTTAATGGAACTGCTCACAGAAAGGATGTGTGGCAAATTTTGCTGTCTTTAGAAGACTTCTAATTACAGCAATTCTCATCACAGTGTGCATTTGAAATTACAGGTAAAATGCCTGACCTGGAATTTTACAGGTAAAATGCCTGACTAGGTGGGGTCAGAAGCAACCTGACTGATGCCTGTGGTGGTAGATGAGAAGAATCTTGACCTTTTTTTTTTTTTTTTTTTTTTTTTAAATATAGTTTGATCTTGTTTGAGGAAGAAACTGTATTTTACTCCTGCCACGTTGGTGGTTGTAGGTTATTTTACATTCCTTGAATGGGAAGTGCTTTTAGTACAAAACTCACTAGCAGCATTTGGGTCCCACATCCAGCCTTTACTGCAGTTGGTTGTTCCACTCACTTTTATGGCAAGCAGAGCCTCCCACCTGAGTAATGAATAATAAACATGAAACTCTTACTTCAAGGAGAAGTAACGTAAGGAAAGCACTTGAATTATTTAGATAGCCTAAAACAAATACCAATGTCAAAGCAAATAATTTTGCTGAAGATTCTATTCAGAGGCATATTTAAACATTTTCCCGGAGTACGATGTATTTATTTTTTTCTTAAGCATTACTCATAGTTATTTTAATTTGATACATTTCATACCTGTAATTCTCTACTGTTAGTGTTGAGAATACTGTGTGCTGCCAAAACCTGGCTTAGCGTACTGCAGCAGTGCTTGAAAGCCTAATCATGATGCAGGGAGAGAGGAACGAAGAGACGTTTGTATTGCAAATCAAAGACTATAGTAAAAGGCTGAGCGATGGTACTCCTGGCACCGTTCGACGTGTATTTTCGGATATGCTGTCTGGTGGGTAATCTTCCCTTGCATCTCCCCAGAAAGGCACTTCCAGGTTTTTAACAGCTGCAGCCTGGAGCTGGGATAGCAATAATCTCTGTCATTGTACTCTTTAAATTGAGACGGGCTCTTTCTGGAAAGGTGTATTCCAATTCAGCTGCTTGTCACAGGATCAGACACGATAATCACTGTGTGAAAGCCTGTGGCTGGTAGTGCACACAAAGCCACACTGGGTGATATCAGGAGGCTCTTCTGGGCTCTAAAACCCATAAATTTGACTGTCTATTGCACCATCACTTTCTCCTGGGTGAATTTTGCCACTCTCTGAAGCAGAAGTTGTGCACCACCTGCAGGGCCCAGATTTACTGAATAACACTCCAGTCTGACTTAGATGGGCACTGGCTCTTTGTGGGCACGAGCGTCTTCCCACGTCTTCAAGGCTGGCCACCTTCTGACAACACCATTTTTCTTTCCACAGGTCCTAGGTTAGTTGTATCTAAGGACTGTCTGTGGTTGTCCAGCTCTTTCAGTATGTCTGCGTTTCATTGGAGTGACAAGATAAATCAAAAGACTATCAATGTCTTGCAGTTTATGAAATGCACATGTATCATTACCTCCTTGTCCTAGTGCAGAAGGTTTCAAAATGAACAGACCAGGCACTGCTTCTTTATTCCCCATCTATAAGATGCAAGCTGTTGCGTTCAAAGGTAGAACAGCCGTGTAGGCATTTTACACTGCCTGACTAATGGTTGGTATACTCAATGTGGATCTTTCTGTTGGTGCAAGCATCTTCTGTCCACATTCTTCAACAAGTGGTGAAATGCCTCTTCTGTGAAGCTTCCATCTTGCATTGATTCTAGTTTACTGTAATTCAAATGAAGCTTATTTCCTTTAAGGTAAGGAAAGGTAGAGAGTGAGTAGGCGAGAAGTGAGTTCTGTAGCTAGAGTCTGATACTCTGTTCTAGAAAGAACCGTAATGTCCCCATGTTCCATCAGGATGTTGAAATATTTAAAGAGCAAAGCAGGAGATGGTCAGAATAATCTGTGATCAGAACAGACAATGTATTGGAGAAAAGCTCAGTTAAAGCAGGTATGATATAATAACAGTAGAAAAGCACAATAGTCAGCACAGCACCTGATAACCAACATTATTAAAGTGGTCTGTACACTGTGAAAACCAGAATGCAAAGGATTGTTTTAAAACAAATAAATAATCTGGGAACTCAGCTTTCAATCAGCATCCAGATTTGAAGGGATATGCAACTGGATTGGTTGCCATTCATGTTGAACTAACTCACTCTGCAACTGATATGAGAAGAAGGTAACTGATCTCTACTTCGTAAAGTAAGATATCCCACTGTAGGAAATCATCTTTCACCTGTCCTTGTTCTCTGTGGTTCTTTGGAAGGTCTTGCTGGAAGACCAGGTAATTCTACCTGGTCTGTAGAAGCCAGAAAGATATCAAGTTTGTGCAAAATTCTTCATTCACAAATCCTCAGGTGTTGGATTTCGTCTGTCAAGGACCATTAGCTAACAAGATTTGCTGTGCAGCGCCTTGGCGCGTAGAGCTCTTAAAAAAGCCTTAAGAAACAGTTCAGTTGTTCAGCAGAATTTGTCACACTCAGTCTGGGACTGCGACATTCAGTTGTACCATGCTCGCCGTCTCAAATGCTGTTTTCAGGTAGTATGAGAATTGTCACCTCCAAAACTTTCCATTTCTTCAGTTAGCTAATTCAATATTAAAAAATGCTTGGCTAAAGTTACTCGCTTTTCTGCTCATTTGTATTTTGCCCTTTTGTCCTCTGTGTTCACCTGGGTGACCAGAAGGTCTGTGACTCACCTGTCTGGCGTATGAATTAAAAATAGTTTCAAAGTTTACGAAATAACAGGCATATCTTAGCTCAGGGCAGATGAAGCTATGCATTCCGTCTTCAGCTCCACCTAAGCGACTGTGCGTAGGTCAGGACACTTGCTAGTGTTGCACGTCACTGTTCATGAACCTTACAGGGGAATACAGGTAAGGAGACTGCATTCGTCGTGCAGCTTTCCTTAGTTGTCCCTATTGCACAAAGAGAAACTAGGCTTGTAATTCACGCCAGTAACTTAAATTCTCCCAGAAGCAAATGGGGAAAATAATTGAAGTTGTTACTGAAGTTACACTATTGAAAAGTTTTTCTTTTTAATATAGCGGAATACCCGTTTCTTAAGGGTAAAAAAAAGAGAAAACTTGCAATGGGAAAGTGCTGGGTTAGCCCTTTTGGCCCTGATATTTGAGCCATTCCCCCCACAGCTCCAGTGCAAAAAGTCAGCAGAACAACCCCCCAAAAAAGCGAAAAGAAAAATCCTGCTTGTAGTACTCTTCAGGTATCGTGCACCTACTTGTCCCTGCTGTCTAGCATATCTCCTTTAGCAAAGCTTCTACTGCTTCACTCTGAGTATACGTTAAAGGTAGAAAAAATCTGCATGGCCAGAATGAAGTTTTTAGGTCTCAAGTCAATAAAAAAGGACAAAATACAATGATTTGGTTTATTCTTGGCTTTGAAAAAGCATACTGAGAATAATCTCTTGCAGTACATTTCATGAATATCCAGTACCTGAGCTATCTGGGACTTCAAAATCAGTGCACTAATTTTAATAACAGCAAGTGGTTAAGGAAAGAGAACTCGGCAGTATATTGATGCTTGTAAATCAAGTTTGAAGGGCATGTGAAGGATTCATTTGACACTAAACAGAAGCAAAAACCTCACAGCAGTGAAACTGCAGATGCATCTTCTCAGCACTGGCGTGGCAGTGCTGGGTATTAGTCTATGTTTTTGTGTAGCAGCCAAAGGCGTAATGCAGACTTACCCAGGTGAGCATGAAAGGGCTTATTTTGCTCAGATAAAAGCTGATTGAATTATTTCAACAAAAGCTTTTCCAAATATCGACCTCACCCAATGCTTTCCTTCTGAATTTTACTTCTGGAACAATTTCTCAGCTGTAGTTTCTAAGCTGCAGTACTTTACCAGAATCTGTAGGAGGCTGGTGTTAAAAACAGGAGTATCATTTTGCGTGTTCTGTGTCATGCAGGCATCAAGGGAGAGAGCACAGCAGTGGAGAAGCTGCTGTACTTACGCATGTCACCTGCAGTGCTGGCTGTGACTACTGGTGAACAGTGTGCTCTTATCCTAAAGCAAGGAAAAGCTTAGCCCATCTGTCACTGCTGATTTGTGTGTTCGCTTTTAAAGTTGCTGGTGGAGAACTGTTTCTGAAGCAATTAGCAAAAACCAGACAATAAATAATATTTTGTTCTTAGCATTTTTATTTTTAAAGATGATCAGTAGACTGACCCATAAAGAAGTGTCACTGTATGTCTACGGTACACAAAACTTTCAAGTACATGTGCACAACTTGTACTCAATGACGTCCCATCAAAAATGTAATTTGGTATAGAGGTTGTTTGTATCTCATTGCTATAGTAACACAATTTTTGGTTATCAGTTATGCATGTTTGCTCTCTCTGTTTAGAATCAAACAAGTAGTGTGCAAACTACGTGGAGGTGTAAGTTAGATTCTTTGTAGTCTGATTAGATAGCAGATCCATGGTCCAATGTAGCTTCCCGAGTATAGAGCCAAGCTTCTGGAAGAAAAAAAAAAAGTACTGTTGAATGTAACTGGGGGGTTTTCTGGAATCATGCATGTGATTACTTAGCAACAGAGTGATGCGTGAAAGTGATTGCGTCCTGGTGAATAACTGTAATCTGGCACACATTGCTCAGGCAGGGCAAGCGGAGCTGGAAAAATAGGCTTTTTGCTTCTTTAGGGAGGGAGCAGGATAGGAGCAGTTGCTGGTAGCCCCTCTCTGGAAAGTCTGACAGCTGCGGTCATTTTACGTCTCTGGTAAAATTCTTTCAAGACTAAGCAATATTGAGTTGGACATGTACACGGGAGAGCCCAGCATCTTGCCAGCAAATGAGCCTGTATTGATCAATCTTTAGATCTTTGAATTCCTGTGCATTAAGATCCTGGACTGGAATGCAGGTACCATATCTGCTTCTCGTAGTTTCTTGTGGAGAACTCCAGACGTACGCCAGTCCTTATTCACAAAGGGCTGACTCTATGCTTGGACAGCAATTCAGTAATTTAGCAAAATAAAGGCACAAGAGAATTCTGTCCTGTAGTTAAGAAGTGATGAAATATAAAAAGCCATCTGTACCTACAGGAAGAAGATGGAAAACTAACATACGTATGCTGACTCTGTGTGCATGTGTGCATATGCGTATCTGCTTGCAGGATATTACCAATGAAATGCCCATGAGGGTAATCCTGAAAGCAGGTAAAGCTGCTTTATCATACCTGGGTATTAGACACATTGGCACTGCACTAACTTTCATAGTGTGCTTCCTTACTTGCACAGATTTTAGGTGACAATTATACCTTAATGCCCAGACTGGCACAGCACAGCTCTCTCCTGTCTATTTTAGTTTTCATCGTCCATTCATCACCATGGCATCGAGAAAGCGTAAAAGCACCGGGGGACGTGCTTTTGGCTGCCCGCAACACCGAGACGAGTGAGATGCAGCGTTCCGCATCAGCTGAAGCAGGGACAGGCAAGCCCAGCAGGGAGAGGCAGGGTAGGATTTGTGAAGGGGAGTAAAACACTCCGGCTGCACCAGCTGCTCAAGGAAAGGAAAAATACTCACTGTGAGATACCCTCCATGTAGTTAGTGGGAGCTAAGCCAGGCACAATAGTAGAGCTGGGATAAAATCATGCTGAAGTTGATGATTTAGGAGAAGACCTACCAGCCAGGTTGTCAGCTGGTATAAATTGGCATTCTCCGTTGGCTTCTGTGAGACTACGCTGAGAATCTGGACCATGAGGCTTCTGTGAGACCATGCTGGAAACCACAGCTGGGAATCTGACCCATAGTGGCCCATCATGGGAAACCTGAAGACTGAAGAGACTATAACGTTCTTTGCTGTTGGAATCAATGTTTTGGGGATATTTAATACGGAGAAACCATAGGATAACTGTTAATGACCCTTCATTGAAATAATGAGATTGGTTTTAGGTATTTTGCTGAGTTGTCTTAATGGAAAGGATTTCTTGTTTATAGAAACTACGTGCCAATAATGGCAATTAACTTTTTTTTAAATTTATGACTTTTATCAGGGGTGAGGTTGGCTGTGGATGCATTTCAAAACCTAGTCATGAGCCTATAATTTAAAAGAAGTCTTTTCACAGAAAATGCGTATGCAGAAGAGAATGTTCTCGTCTCATGTCTTTAGCATCTAACTAGCAGTGTTTCTGTATTTATTTTATTTATTCAGCCAAATCTGCAATGTGCCTTGCATTTTTTTCCTTCTATTTGTTGCTTGGATACTGCATGAAAGCACTCCCTGAAGTATAAATAATGTCTAGCAGAGCATACTGCAAAGCGAAATTCAATACAGGATTAAAAACTGTTTACTAAATTTCTGTTAACCTTGGAGCTCTTCTAATGGGGAAAGATTAGTGATGAAATCATTCTCTCAGATCAGAGCCTTGATTCTTATCTTGAGGTAATATCCTGGAGAGATATAAACCCAAATTGCCTTGAGACGAATTGCCTTGATGGGGAAGAGGCAAAAAGAACAGGAACAGGGATGAGGACCAGACAAGTAGAGAGGATGATGAAAATCCACTTCCAAGTTCCACTTTTTTAGTTTCTAGCATTCTTCCTAGCAGTTTTGAACTCTTCTAGTGAGCAATGCAAACACTATTTTTTTGCCAACTGCTTTGTTATGTGCATGTGGTATGATGATTTTTTGAAGTTTTGCTTCCTTTAGATGTTATTAAGCCTTTAGGGCGGATGGGTGTCAAACGTTGACGGTATTTGTACATATTAGTATTCTATACATTATATAAAAATGAAATATGGTTTGCTCTGGAATAATAACTTCACGAGTTTGAGACCGTTAGTACTTGTCAATTGATCACTAAGCTTTTTTGCAGAGATAGGCAATTCCCAGATGGGGAAATTTAGTGGGTGAGATTCAATGAAAGAAGGTTTTCGAAAATAAAGAGATGTCTTTTTTTATGTTGGCTTTAATAATGAGGCTTTAAGCTCATGTTTCTGCATCTAGTATGTTTTTTTTTTTAAAAAAAACAACTTCCAACAATTTTTTTCCAACATTTTCCTTCTCTGTCATTTTGAATGAACTACAGGATCAGCACAAGCCTGTACTACCTCGGCTTTTCTGGAACTTTGTTGCTTAGGTATAAAAGGATCCAAAATTCTGTAGAGAGCCCAATTAACTTCAGAGGTTTCTAATTTAGGGGCTCGAGCTCCTCCGGTTATGGCACTGGCAACACGGAGAGGTACTTTTTTATTCTTCTCCCTTAAACTGACCACATGCGAATGTGGCTGGTCACAGTTGGGACGTATTTGCGAACACTAATATAGTTTATATGCTTTCTGTTCTATCTTTGTGAAGCAAGGGAAATAGCAGAAATAAATACTCTGGCTTATGGAGATTTGTAAATATCAGTGTGTTCTGCTTGTTGTTTTCACCCGATTTCCATTTTGCTCAGGAGTAGCAGGAGATTGAATTTTCATGCCCGAGTGATTATGGTGTAGCAACAGTGCATCTTCTGTGTTCATGGTCAAACTGGAAAAAAAAAACAGTGCAGAAGGAAGAAAAAGAAAAAAGGAGGGTGGGAATCTCTCTCCTACATACAAACATAGATGCAATTCAGATAGAGGAGGAAAGGAGGGAGGGAGAGGCAATGAAAATAATTCCAGCTTCTAAAAAAGCACATTAAAACCCATAAAAAAGAATTTTCTGGATGAAAATCAAGAAGTGTTTTCATGCCAAAATGTCACAGAAAGTGAGTATGTTAAGTGCGTTCCTGTGCACCATGCTTATTTTAATAGGCTTTTTAAGGGTTATTCATCTAAGTCAGGGAGCAGCAAACCAAGTGCATTTTGTGGGCCGCAAACAAAACCTGTGAATGTAGTTGTTACAGTTTTTCAGGGATGGCTTCCCTGCTTTGATGAGTTCACGGAGTATGGGAAGCGGTACAGTTCAGAAGAACCCATTTGGACTGGAATGCAAACCAACACAAACCGTGATTTCTTCCAAACATGAGTGGCTCATGTAGCTCTTCTCTGCAGGCTCTCCTGGCAAGCGTTCCGCTATTGCAGTTACCAAGGGCATGCTGTTACAAAAGTCATGTCAACTTTCCTGTTAATCTGGGACTTGTGTAAACTGAAACCCGAAACCGGGTGGAACTGACCCAGTTTCAGTAATAAATTGATATTCTGGCCTGATTTGTGAAAAGATTCCCAAAGGTTTTGTGCTGCTTTGGTCTCGGACACCACAACCTGCAGGTTCATCTTGAGCCCAAAGCTGGTTTGTGCCTGGGACTCGGCGTGGAGCTGCTGGAAGGTCAGCCTGGACATGGCAAAAGGAAAACACGTGAACAGACACTTCTGTAATAAAAATCCTTGTCTCTTGCTTTTTAATCTGCCCCTTTCCCTTACGTTTTTGATTGTGTTGGCTCTCCCAAGCCCACATGATTCACAGAGAATATACCTGGAACGGACTTGGAGTACCAAATGCCTTGGTGTTTGCCACTGACCTAAAATCCCCTTTAAACAGAAAAATTGAAATATTTTCTGAAATAGAGATGTTACTTAAGAGAAGATCTCTTGTTTTGTTTGTATTTATTTCACCTTCTCCCGAGACGTTTGCTAAGTATTGCAGGAAATGGCAGGTTTATGAGATGAATGGTTCTGTTCCCACTAATACCTGCAGAAGAGGTAATTAAGTTGGCACGCTACTTTCTGCTTAGTGTGTGGGCTGCTTCTCTCTGTTCCAGCATCTTAGATACATAAACTAGAGGGAAATCAGCTAACTCTTCAGGATCAATGTTATGCAAATTGTCAAATACGATAAAAATAACTATTTCCTATTACATTCTAGAACGATCCACAGCAAAAACCATCTTTCCTTACTCTGTTGCCTGTGTATAGGGAGAGATTCTGTTTTTACTGTGTGGACGGGGGGTATCAGCAGAGAAATCAAGAAAGGCAAACATGATTACGAGTTTCAGTTCTTAACTGTGGCGCTGAGGGGATGTGCAAGAACTTAACCCTCTTTCAGGTGAAGAGCAAATGTTATTGTGATTTCTGTGGCATTTTAGATTAATAAATCATCCTTTTTATCTTGTATTTTTTTCCTAGTTAGTCACCAGCTAGAGAATTTGCAAGAGCAAATAAGAGTAAAGAGGAAAGACAAGGGTGATGATTAACCAGATTCGTAATTATTGTAAGCTCTGGTGTGCATTCTGCTTCCCATTAGAAAGATAATTGTCTTTTGCGGAGTTGTAAAATCGCATCTTTCTTTCAGAACACAGTAGTACAAAGCATGCATTTGTTTTATGGTACGCAGGGAACATTTTCTGCATTGCTTTCTTGGTTTTTCACGTATGCATTAAGTGAATGTATTTTGAGGGTGGGCCTGTTTGGAACATTGTGTTCACCACATGTACTATCTTCATTGTTGACCCAGGAAAGTCAGCCAATATTGGTTGACTTTACTGGTGGAAGATAATGTAGATGGATGGATGGATGAGGTTGTCGGGGAATTTCTAGCTATTCCAATTCTAGCGAGGCTGTGTGAGTAATATTAGCACTGCACACTTACCATTTATTTTCTGCAAAAGTTATGGACTGGATCCTTGGCCGGGAACTTCTTAGAGGGTCTTTTGTCTATACTTTTTTTGAGATTATGCTAAGATTTTTCTTAAGGGATTTCTTTTGGCTGAGAAAAGTGGTAGTTTTGTTCAATCTTAGAAACATTGATGATTAGGGATTTGGACGGTAATTTTGCTAGAACTAACATTAGTTTTTTCCTTTATGATAGGAGCCCATTCACTTCAGCAGCAATCTTCAGAACCATGTAAAGACAGATCCCGGGACAGATCCTTTTCTGTTCTGGGGTAAGCACTTGCCTCCAGATGTTACTTCTACATTCATAATGTTACTGTAATCAACCTCTTGTTCTCCTTGAGGCTTTGCAAAGCTCTAATCATGTCAACTAAGTCACACTTTGCATTATGGTTAAGTGGATAATAATTTGTATTTTTATTTAATAACTCTTAACAAGTACACAAACAATGCAAGCCATCAGTACCAGTCAAGTAGTATGGGAGAGGTACAATTCAAAGAATGCAAGCAAAAATTATTTCACAGCTATGGGAGAAAACTGAGAACAAAATTTAGAGGGGGGAAAAAACCCAACGAAACCCTCCTCCCTGATATACTAAACTTAATATATGATTTGGCCCTTATTTTTCTCCAACAGTGTAATCAGTGATGAATTACACCATGGACAATTTCAAGCTGTGTTGATTGGATAAGTTACACTTGGACCAGTGCTAAAAGTTACCTTATCTCTGGCCTTTAAAGCATTAATTCACCTCCATAACATGTTATCTAATTAGTAATGTCAAGGGCTTAGTCAATTAAAGAGAAACAGAAAATGAGTAGAAACCAGGTATAAAAAAGGGCCTTGCATGTGAGAACCTTGTGATCGATTTGATGCATTGCTACATGGCGGCAGTAAACAGGCCTCGGGTTTACTAATTTGGAGTCAACAGCAAATGAATGTATTAGGATTGATGTGACTCAAATAAAAATGGGAACTGGCAGGATGCCCATTTTTAAGAAGTCTTGCTACATATGGTGTAGAGTTTCACAAATACAGACGGATCCCCATTTTGCTTTGCTCTTTCTACTGAATTACCACCAACCTGTGAAGTGGAGCCTTCAAAATGTACTCCAGGGGCCCAGCAAAGCAGCAGTAATGCTTTGGCAGATGAGTCAGCAGCACCTGGCGATCAGGGCCATCCCTGGGAGCTGATACAAACATTAACAAAGTCTGTCACATCTGTTGCTTGGGGACCTGTCGTTCAGCCCAAATGCCAACCTGGATGGCAGATAAAATGAAGTCAGAACTTCACAGTGAGTGCTGCCGAGTTCTCCACAACGTGTTAGGGTCTTGTGTCTCTGTTTTTCAAACCTTGAACAAAATAAGCTCAGTTCAAACACAAATTCTTCCCTTTAGCTTTCCCTCTACTCACTGTGTAGCCTGCACTGCTCCATACCTGCTGCAATTCCTTCTCTTTTTAAGGCAGCATTTAGTGCTACTGGGCAGGCCAGAACTTGGGGGGGACAGAGAGGGCACACGGACAAAAAACCCCAAGCCCCAACTTTCGTTCAGTATTTCTTGGGAATCTTCAGCTTACCAGATTCAGTTGTCCCACAGGGGACAATCTGGAGTGTAAATTCATGTATGTGGTGTTAATGTTTTATGATGGGGTGGGGAAAGCCAGTCTGTGTTTTATATGGGTCAAAGCCAAATGATTATTTTGAGGTTTTAATGTTTTGCTTTTGTAATATTTTACTTTTTAATATTCTTAATAATGGCCACGTGCATTAGTGTGTCGCCTGCCAAAGGTGTTGGGAAAGCTTTCAGCTGGGGAAAAGTTCCTGGCTCCCGATTTCTGGCCTTCATGGTGTTAAAAATGCTCCAGCTCTCCTGTCAGTCACTTGGACTTTAGTTTTACCTTCTCACATAGCAACACCTGTTTGCTCAAGGTGGGACAGTAATGAGCTGATATGCCTGCAGGTAGGGCCTGGCTGCGTGCCTGCTCTTGAGGGGAAGGGTTTCGTTTAATTATAACATAGGTCAGGCATCGCAGGCAAAAGTTGCTGTTGGTAGAAAGCTGCAGGAAAAAATTTTGTGATGGAAATAAGCCTGTACTTGTGTGCTGGGTAAAACGTGCTCCTTGAGCTTTGGGGGAGTTTGCATTTGTATGTTAACGGCTCAGTTCACTGAGCTCTGTTCGTGTAAATTCTGGAGCCTTTTGTATTTTTGTGTTGCCCTTCTTCCCTCCCACCCCAGCCTGGAAATCCCATGGCCACAACTGCAGCGTGTGGGTCCCTGCGTGCTGGAGGGACAGCTGACTGTACAAAGATTATCAGGGGAAGGTTTAGCAGGAACAGGGGACCGCCGTGCCACATCAGTGCATTGTTGTCTGGAGAGCAGCATCCTGCCTGCCGCAGTGACAAGTGCAGGTGCTTCCTCAGATCACCCTTTCGCCTTGCAAACACGCTTCTAGGGCACAAACCTGCAGTACCTTGGTCCCCGGTATGGTGGTGGTTAGCTGCCCCTGCGGACAACTGCTTTCTTCCCCGACACTGTAAAATCTGGCTTGGGCAGCTGAATAGTCTTTAGTGGCCAAGTGTAGGTAGTGCTGAAAAGATTGAAGGACAACTTTCAAAAATGTTTTAGGCTCTGCTTGAGGTCTGCTGTACTACCAAAAGTCTTGTGTAAATACAGCTATAGTGATATAAAGGGGTTCACTGAAATGTGCTAGTAAAAGCCCTTCTGTATCAATATAATAAGCAACTCTGGACTAGGGCTATGTTGTTTTAAGAAAAACAGTATAGTTAAAAGTCATAAATATTTTAAGTGTATTTATGACCTTGGGAGCAACGTGCCAGGCATTTTCAACAGTCCCATGTGTTTTTGGAAATCCCAGCTTCAGTTGAGAAGTGTTGACTTCCATCACTTCTCCCTAAATTAGCAGTGTTCATGGTTGGACTTACTGCACGTTTGTTTCCCGGTGTGTTGGTAATGGCTGGTTGAATTTCCACCTTAGCCTAGCAGGAGCTAGGGCTGCAGCAAGTCAGTGGGAGTGGGCTGAGCTTCTCCCACAGAAATTGTCCTCACATAAATTACTATATGACTAAAAACTTGTGAAACGACAGCATCAAAACAAAGGCAACATTCTGAAACGTTTAATGAGGGGACGGAGTGGGAGGAGAAGAGAACATGGATTCCATTGGAAAGGAATTTGGAAATGCAAGAAAAGAAAAAAAAAGAAAACATTTCTGTGAACTTTATCAGCAGTTTTAAAAATGAACAGGCAAATGCTACATACCAAGAATATGAATGTGGAATTGACCTTTTAATTTCACTTATTCGTAAGTGAGGGCTAGGAGCTCGTGCCCCTGAGGGAAAAC